CGCGGAGGAAGAGGGAGAGGCCGAGGAGGAGGAGGAGAAGGAAGAGGACGACGAGGAGGTCGAGCGGTTGGAGGACATAGAGTGCCCGGAGTAGCAGAAGAAGGAATGGAGTTAATTAGCCAGCTCGAACGAGCCAGAGGGCACCGCCCTCCCTCCATCCCCGGTATCAGATAGTAATCGGTGTTGGCACAACTGGGCACGTGGCCTGCGCGCCCTCATACATTGGAATTCGAGGACGCTGTCACCCGCGCGCGCGCGTCCCCGCCAGTTTCCAACCAAACATGGTCAGCGCTTGGGCGGAAACGACATGTCGCCCGCGCGTGCGCGATCGTGTTGCCGTCCCATCGGCGAGCGAAACATGTCTGCCATGTCATTGTGGGGTGTCACTTCCAGACAAATTCCTAATCGGCAGTTGGTCGAGAGCGACGAGTCGCCCGCTCGCGCGCGATCGCGATGCCGACGACTTGGCACTGCGAATCATGTGCGCCTCGCTGAAGCGGGAATGCAACTTTCAGAGACAGTGTGCGCGGCGCGTGAGAAAGAGAGAGATAAAGAGAGAGAGAGAGAGAGAGACTAAAGGAGAGAAAGAGAGAGAGAGAGAGATATACGTAGACAACAAGAAGAGAGATAAAGAGAGACACATTCAGATAGGTATATATACACATATACAGATGTACAAATATAGAGAGAGAGAGAGAGAGAAACAACAAAGAGAAAGCGAACGCGAACGAGAGAGAGAGAGAGAGCAGTGTTTCTTCCATTCGCGGGCGATTCGCGTCGCGTCACGTTTTTGTCACGCATTTTGCAACGTGTGCCATGGCATCCATGTTGCTAAGAGGACCGTCGAGCTTCTGCTGTTGTGGATGGGCGGATGGACCCCCCCAGATGGGGCCCCCATCGGACGGCCAGATGGCAGACTGGGCGTACATACCAGCACGGAATCAGCCTCGGCAGGGGGAACCCTAAACCCTAAACCGCCCTAAACCCTAAGCCCTAAAACCCTGAAGCCCTAAAACCCTGAAACCCCAAACCCCAAACCCTAAACCCTGGAGCAGTGAGAGGAGGACAAGGGTCTTCGAGGGTCGTGCGTGCGCCCTGTCGATCTCGGCAGGTTTCGGTCCCGCTGCCGGTTCCACCAGCTTTTGATCTTGGTGTCGCCGCTGGCGGCTATGCTGAAGTCGGGCCTGTCCCCCTACAGCGGGGATTTTCGACGAAACAAAGAAGTACACAGAAAATGCCGCAAAAGGGTAACACATACTCAAAACATAGTCCCCAGGCTACGTTTGGAGTATGTTTGGATTATTTGGGGGGTATTTTTTATTTTCGTCGAAAATCCCTCTGTAGGAGGACAGGCCCGACACAAGGCTATGCCCCCCTCCTCAGCACTGCCCACCAAACCACCCCGACCCAGCCCGAAGGCCTCAAGGTGCTCTTCACTCCAAGGGGGGGGGGGAGGGGCTGAACATGGAACAAACATACGGATGGCACCCGCACGCCCCCCCCTACCCGAGATTCGGGACATCGGGTTGGACTGGGGTGGTCTGGCAGATAGTCGCCTCTCTTCGCCGGCAGGTCCCCGTGCCGCAGGTGCAGACGGTCCAGAAGACGGTCAACATCCCGCAGGCGGGAGCGCGCATCTGTGCGCGCGGGGAGGGCGGGCATCCGCTTGGGTCCTTGCGGCCCCCTGCCCGCTCCTCCCCCGTTCTCCCCCGTCCGCATCCCCGCCCCACATCTCCGTTCTTCCTCCCCCCCTCCTCCTCACCCTTCTTCCTCCCCCCTCCCCTCCTACCGCTCTCCCCTCCGCGGTGCGTAGGCCCAGCGGGGCGGTTGCCTGGCCAAGCCGGGGTCCGAACGCGGCCTAATGGCCAGAGTATTTATCTACCACAAGCCTCAAGCCTCCCATCCCGATCGCTCCTCCCCCCTCCACCTCCTCCTCCTCCTCCTCCTCAGCCTCCTCCTCCTCCTCCTCGTGCTCGTGCTCCTGCTCCTCCTCTTACTCCTCCTCCTCCTTTTTCCTCCTCCTCCCTCCTCCTCCTCCCTCCTCCTCTCCCTCCTCTCTCCTCCCTCCTCCTCGCTCCTCCTCTCTCTCTCCTCCTCCTCCTCCTCCTCCTCCTCCTCCTCCTCCTCCTCCTCTCCTCCTCCTCCTCCCTTCCTCCCCCCCTCCTCGTCCCCTCCTCGTCCTCCTCCTCCTCCCCCCTCCTCCACTTCCTCCTCCTCCTCCTCCTCCTCCTCCTCCTCCTCCTCCTCCTCCTGGCGCAGTCGGGGAGCGCTTGGCCCGAGGGGCGAAAAGCCCCAGCACCTGGTAGGGATGGCCGCCAAAGCGCGGTCCCCTTTCCCCCGGGGGGGGGTGCTGGGTGCGCAGTTCCCAGCACGGTCGGAGGTCTCCCCCCCGTGGCTCGCCGTGTTGGGGTCGTGCCTGTCGGCTCGTCGTCTTCGTTGCCGCGGCGATCGTGTTTGTTGAGCGTCCCAACAATCCTGCGGTGTTGGTCCTCGTTTTGAAGAGACAGCGCCCCGCGCCTCCGCTCCTCCCTCTTCCCATACTCCCCCTACTCCTCTCTTCCCTACTGTGGCACAACCCTCACACGGTGCGTGGACCCATAAGGAGCTCCACCGAAGGCCCACATGTCAGCGCTCGCATGCGCCCACCGCGCTCATTTTGGCACACCCCTCATGCGGTTGGTGGCCCTATAGGGAGCTCCACCGAACGCCCACATGCCAGCGCTCGCAAGCGCCCACCGCATCCATGTTGGCACACTTCTCACACGTGTTGTGGCCCAGTTGGGAGCTCCACCACAGGCCCAGATGCCAGCGATCGCATGCGCCCACCGCGTCCATTTTGGCATGCCCCGCGCACGGTTCGTGGCCCCATAGGGAGCCCCACCGAAGGCCCACATGCCAGCGCTCGCATGCGCCCGCCGCGCCCATTTTGGCACACCTTTCACACGCTTTGAAAAGACAGCGCCCCGCGTCCTCACTCTTCCCCCCTCCCTCCTCCCATATTCCCCCTCCTCTACTGTGCCACACCCTTTTCACACGTCGCGCGCACCCATACGGATCCCCAACAAAAGCCTAGATGCCAGCGTTCGCATGCGCCCACCGCACCCATTTTGGCACACCCATCACAGTGTTTGTGGGCCCATATGGAGCTCCACCGAAAGCCCAGATGTCAGCGCTCGCATGCGCCCACCGCATCCATGCTCGCATACCTCTCACACGTTTGGTGGCCCAGTTGGGAGCTCCACCGAAGGACCAAATGCCAGCGGTCGCACGCGCCCACCGCCGCCATTTTGGCACACACATCACACATTCCGTCGCCCCATAGACAGCCCCGCCGAAGGCCCACATGCCAGCGCTCGCACGCGCCCACCGCATCCATGTTGGCACACCTCTCACACGTTTTGAAGAGACAACGCCACGCGTCCTCACTCTTCCCTCGTCCCATACTCCCCCTCCTCCGCTTTCCCCTGCTGTGGCACACCTTCCACACACGCCGCTTGCACCCATTGGAGCCCCACCACAGTCTGGCACACCCCTCACACGTTTTGTGGCCCCATAGGATCCCCAACAAAAGGCCCAAATGCCAACGTTCGCATGCGGCCACCGCACCCATTTTGGCACACCCCTTACACGCGTTGTGGCCCCATATGGGGCTCCACCACAAGCCCAGATGCCAGCGCTCGCATGCGCCCACCGCACCCATTTTGCCACATTCTTCACACGCTTTATGGCTCCATATGGAGCTCCACCGAACGCCCACATGTCAGCGCTCGCATGCGCCCACCGCGCCCATTTTGGCACACCCGTCACACGTTTTGTGGCCCCATAGGGAACCCCACAGAAGGCCCAGATGCCAACGCTCGCATGCGTCCACCGCGCCCCTTTGGATGCACACCGCACACGTTTGTGGCCCCATAGGGAGCTCCACCACAAGCGCACATGCCAGCGTTTGCATGCGCCTTCCGCGCCCATGTTGGGACACCCCTCGCACGCTTCGTCGCCCCATAGGGAACTCCACCAAAGGATGCCAGCGTTCGCATGCGCCCACCGCACCCATTTTGGCAGAATGCTCACACGGTGGTTTGTGGCCCCATAGGGAAACCCACAGAAGGCCCAGATGCCAACGCTCGCATGCGTCCACCGCGCCCCTTTGGATGCACACCGCACACGTTTGTGGCCCCATAGGGAGCTCCACCACAAGCGCACATGCCAGCGTTTGCATGCGCCTTCCGCGCCCATGTTGGGACACCCCTCGCACGCTTCGTCGCCCCATAGGGAACTCCACCAAAGGATGCCAGCGTTCGCATGCGCCCACCGCACCCATTTTGGCAGAATGCTCACACGGTGGTTTGTGGCCCCATAGGGAAACCCACAGAAGGCCCAGATGCCAACGCTCGCATGCGTCCACCGCGCCCCTTTGGATGCACACCGCACACGTTTGTGGCCCCATAGGGAGCTCCACCACAAGCGCACATGCCAGCGTTTGCATGCGCCTTCCGCGCCCATGTTGGGACACCCCTCGCACGCTTCGTCGCCCCATAGGGAACTCCACCAAAGGATGCCAGCGTTCGCATGCGCCCACCGCACCCATTTTGGCAGAATGCTCACACGGTGGTTTGTGGCCCCATAGGGAGCTCCACCGAATGCGGCGCATACACCGGCAGTGCCCACAATTGCATATGGTTGGGTCCTTCGCCAGGCCAATTATCATTTGATGTTATCTTCGTCGTGGCTTCGTCTTTGGGTAGGGCACCGCCATCAAAAAGGACGCCAAGGTGGTCCAACGCCTCGCCGGTCAAGCCGACGAATATGTGCAACATTGAAACAGTCGATTATGCCCAAAGTGTTAGCTTAACGCCGGGTGTGGTGCATCAGTGCCAGCCTGACCGAACAGGTTAGTTGCGCCCCTTGACGTCGGTTTCGGATGTGCTGCAGACCTGAACCAGCAGCCCTACTCAATTTTGTTTTAAGCAGGCACTGCAGACAAGACGGAGGTGTGACCATCCATATACTGTAGATTCGTACAGCCACAATCCTCAACAGGCAGCCCCGCAACTCTTACTCGGACCGTCAGTCAGGCCGACAAAGAAAATCGGGCCAGGCAAGGGCAAGAAACGTGCAGGAAAGCGAGGAACCGAGGAGAAAGAGGGGTAGAGGGAAGGAGGGCGACTGGGAAGGACAGACCCGGCCAACAGACGGACGGACGGGGGGACGGGGCGAAAACACCAAGCAAGGATGGAGAGGGAGACCACGCACACCCACGAGCCAAGAAACACACGGGCAAGGAGAGGTGTGATCTTCGGGCGAGACCTTAGGACGTTCACGCACGGACCTCTTGGGCCCGTGCCCGTGCCCCCCGCGCGGTGCCCATGCCCCCCGCCGCGGCCCCCCCCCCCCCCCCCGCACGCTCCCTGCGTCGCCCAGCCGGTGGGATGCCCGGCGCCTGGAGGACGAGGACGAGGACGAAGACGACGACGACGACGAGGAGGAGGACGAGGACGAGGACGAGGACGACGACGAGGGCGAGGACGGGGAGGAGGAGGAGGAGGAGGAGGAGGAGGAGGATGAGGAGGAGGAGGAGGAGGAGGAGGAGGAGGAGGAGGACGAGGACGAGGACGAGGACGAGGACAGGACGAGGGCGAGGACGAGGACGGGTAGGGAGGAGGAGGAGGAGGAGGCGGAGGAGGAGGAGGAGGAGGGAGGAGAGGAGGAGGAGGAGGAGGAGGAGGAGGAGGAGGAGAGGAGGGGAGGAGGAGGAGGAGGGAGGAGAGGAGGGAGCAGGGAGCAGAAGGAGGGAGAGGAGGAGAGAGGAAGGAGCAAGGAGTCAAGGAGGAGTGAGTAGGAGGTAGAGGAGGATAGGAGGAGGAGGAGAGGAGGATGAGGAGGAAGGAAGAGGAGAGGAGTGAGGAGGAGGGCGAGGAGGAGGAGGAGGAGAGGGAGGAAGGAGGAGGAGGAGGAGCAGGAGGAAGGAGCAGGGAGCAGGAAGGAGGGAGGAGGGAGGAGGGAAGATGAGGAGGAGGAGGAGGAGGAAGGAGGAGGAGGAGGCGCGGACCTCCCTCTTCCCACCCCCCGAGAGACAGGGCAAGCGGCATCAGAGTGATCTGCGCACGTCCGCACGGATCTCTTAGTTCGGTGCCCATAATACCCCCCGCCCCCCAGCACTCGAGTAGGGTATCGGTTACGTCATCGATTGACCCCAAACGTGATTTCTTGTCGAATCTACGAAGCTTACCCACAATGCTCCGTAGATCTACTTGCTATTATACAACACCTTTTTCTCATGGGTCCGACTTGAAAATCAGTTTTGGAGTAACGGAATTCTGGAATCGATCCCCTGCTCGAAGCACGCTCCGCGCGTCGCCGGGCGGAGGGGCGGCTTGGCGCCTCGACGTCCTGTTTCAGAAGTAGGGCCCCCTCCTGGGACGACCGCGGGGGGCGCCGAGGGGATGGGTGGGCTATCCTTATGTCGGGCGTGTCCCCCTACAGGGGGATTTTCGACGAACAATAAAAGATACTTCCAAAATAGTCCAAAAATAGTCTGGAGGTTTTTCGTTGATTATTATTTTGCCTTTTGGGGGTATTTTGTTTTTTATTTTTCGTTGAAAATCCCCCTGTAGGGGGACAGGCCCGACTTTGATGCTATCCGCGGAAGACAAGGCTGTCATATTCGGCCCAACCTGGCGTATGCGTGGGCTGCCAGTTCCCCAAGTTGCTCAGGGGGTTCGGTGCTTCGCTAAGGGGGCGCAGCCTACACTCAGCCCAGAATCGCTGGCCCCCCGGAGCCACTCGGGTCACCTGTAGGCCACTTGTGATGCAGGTTGGGCCACACCTTGTCAGAACGTGTTCCAGGAGAGGCCGAGGAGCAGCGGCGTCGGCCGTGGTCCGCATTGTCCCGGGTTGATCGCCAGTCGGGTGGGGGAGGGGATGTGCACCGACAAGAAACAGTGATCAATTCACTCCCACCCGCCTCCCCAACTCACAGGGCTCTATTGGTCCGTCTTGGGGTTGGGGCCCTCTTGGGCCCGAAGAAGTTACGTGGGAGGACGATCCAAGACCCAGGGGGCGCGTGGCAAGCCCCAGGAGATTTGGCAGTTTGGGGTCCGGGCCTAGGAGGAGCGTGGCAAGCCCTAAGAGATTCTTCAGGACTCAGATTTGCGGCTTCAGAGATTCGGCAACGGACCTGAGGACACGCCCTCTCTTTGCCCAGCGGCACGGTGGCGGATTCTGTATTGCTTTGGTGACAGGGATGGTGGTGGGGGAGTTGTCGGCATGTGTCCAAGTTTGTTGTCAGTCGGGTGGAGGAGGGGGTGTTAATGAATAGGGAACAGCGATCAAGTTCCCACTGAGAACGCCGCAAGCCGTCTCGTTCACGCCCACCCGCCCTCCCAAAGTAGCACCCGAGTCAACATAACTTGGCTGGGTCCGCAATCGACAACCATCGGGATCCAATGCAGACGCCAGCCAGGTGCGGGAAGCCCACGAGGTGCGCTGCACATGACAGGTGCGCCACATTGGTCAATATGTCGACCCCACCACCATCCCTGTCAAAACCAAATTCAAAGCGACGGAGGGTTTACAGGCAATTGTGTATTGTGTGGGTGTGTGCACCCGCAGTCACCTTGCATTGGTTTTGGACAGGGGTGTTTGACCCACACAGCAGAAAGCAGGCAGCATGACGCCCCCCCATCCCTGGCAACATGAACTGTGTATCTTCTGCTGAAACGGATGATGGGCCTACACACAGCAGGCAATATGCCGGCACTCGCGCCGTCCTTACCAAAAAAACAGCGCCAGTGATTGCGGGGCGTCCGTGCATGATTCTGATTTTTTGGTGCAGCGTGTATTTTGTATTGTTTATCGCACGGGATGTTCGGGCGGTGTTGGCATTGTACACAGCAGGCACTGAGCTATATGCTGGCGCCCCCGCCGTCCCAGCCAAAGACCAATGCAAAGTGATCGCGGGACGTCCGCCCAGATTTTGGTGCAGAGTGGATGCGTTGCTGGTTTTTGCCAGTGATGGTGGGGGATTCTTGGCTTTGGTTCCGTTTTGTCGCTGATCGGGTGGGGGATGGGGTGTATACCAAGGAGGAGCAGTGATGAACGCCTGTCCGAAGAGGAAGAGGAGGTTGGAAGAGGCCATGCGCTAAACCACCCACGCCCTGACGGGCTGGTGGGATCACCACTGTCCTATCATTTTCGGCGTCTCGGGGCCGCTTCTTGGCTGGGGCCGTCAAAGCTTGACCTGGCCTGGCTCAAGGGACGTGGTCCTCTCTAGAGCTCCGGGGCCCGAGCACTGAAACAGTCACCGAGGCATGCATGTTTCTCATACTGGTTCTGGAGCCCGTGGGGCACCCAGACGGGCGACGTCATGGTTCGCTCGGTGGCGATGCCCCCGGACCGCCCGACCCCACCCCTGGGTGCTGGCCCCGAAGCGGGCCTCGAGACGCCCAGCCCGTCCGTCGGCGGCCACGGAGGTCCCGACCGCTTCCACAGGCTTAGGTTTCTGCCCCGGATCCGCTCCTGAGTGTCCAAAATTGAGAAGCGCCCCCGGGATTGGAAGAATCGGATCGTCGGAGATCTCCTCCTCCTTCTCCTCCTCCTCCTCCTCCTCCTCCTCCTCCTCCTACGGTAAACAACTGGCCATGCCGATCTCCATTTGGATGCCGGGCGGTTTGGGCAGGTCGAGTTCGTGGACACGGACGTGCAGGTGCCCGTCGTGAAGCAGCGCCACGTGCCGGTCATCCAGAAGGTCCAGCGGCCCATGGAGGCGCGCCCAGGGGCGGCGAAGAGGGGGGGCATTGGCACCATGGGCGCCTGACTCTGAGCAAGAGGGAGATGAGGAGGTGCCTACTGGGATGACCGCGGGTGTGCGGACGCCACATTGGTCGTATTAAACCCCACCTGGTTAGTAGGTGGGTTACACGTGCTCCAAGGGGCTTAGGGGTGTTAGACAAACTCCGCTAATCGGGCGGAGCCCACGTAGCACGATCTGGTAACTACCTTAAGCCGCTTAGAGCATTTGCCACATCTTTATAAGCTTGGTTGGGCCAGATCTAATCATCTTGGCATTCACTTCCAGCGCCCTATCCCCTCAGCAACTCCCGTGGTCATCCCAGTACCTCCACCCCTTCCTCTCCTCATCTAGGTCAAGCTAGTCGCAGCCCTCAGCCGTCAGCCGTCGTCGCCGTCGTCGTCTCTTTGCCATGCTCCTCCTCCTGGAGCTACCAGCGAGCCTGGCTACCTCGCCCCCAGGTGGCTGCCGCTTCCCTTGCACTGCGATCCCTCTGCTCACAGCTGCCTTGTCTGACCAACCTCCCAGAAGCGACGGCTGCTGCGGAGTTGTCGCCACAACCCCGCGGCCGACAGCGGCAGCGACGGGAGGAGGACGAGGAGGAGGAGGAGGAGGAGGAGGGCACGGCCGGGCGTCCTCGCGTCGTGCAAAAAAAACCGTACGACGGGTGGTGGGCGTGCCGTGCCTGGTCTCCTCCTGGGGCCCTCGTCAGGCTCCGAGGCAGTCAAACTTCTTCTTTTTTTTTGTTACCAGCGCTCCTCCTCCTCCTCCTCCTCCTCCTCCTCCTTCTCCTCCTCCTTCTCCTCCTCCTCGTCCTCCCTCCTCCTCCTCCGACCGTAGCCATTTTGGCTCATGCCTTTCCGTAGGCCCCCCACTGCTGGACCTTGTCACTCGGCGTACCCTGCGACCCCAGTCTGACGGGGCAACGTGGCGGGCGTGTGGGACTTGGGGGAGTGGGGCTTTTGGCTCACGGAGCATGGCGCGGGCGGATGCCGATCATGGCGTCCCGAGGCGTTCGCGCGCTGAGCGCACTGCTGCACGCCAGGCGGCCATCGCTAGCGTGGAGGCGGCGCTCAGGCGCATCACCACCGAGAGGGACGAGCTCAAGTCGAAGCTGGACCACCTCCTCAAGGCCACGGCGATGGCCTTGGATCTGCCAGCTGAGGTAGCAGATCGTGTGGTAGCTCTCGTCCCCTGTCTCACCAAGCTGGTCGAAGGAGTTCGGCCAGAGCACGCTGAAGTGCTGCGGAGGAATGTGGCGCTCCATTCGACGGCCCCTGGGGTCACGATTTCTGTAGCATCGAGCAAGGATCTTCGTTTCGCTCAGCATGGGCCCCGTCTCGGGGCGCCCCGTGAGGCCAGTTTGCTGTCAGGTGCTCGTGTCACTGGAGCTGGTGATGTGTTCCAATGGAATGTGCATGCAGAGGTATTTGTTCCTGCGGACGCTGCCAGTTGCGTTGTGCCCGATGTCACGGTAGATCTTTGTGATGTGGCTCATGTGCGTGATGAGCCCGCTGGGGATACCGAGGCTGCCGTGCCGCCGGCTGACGTGGGGCAGGGGAAGCCTTCGGAGGGCGATGTGGATGCTGTTTTTTGTTCCTCATCGTCAGAACCAGCATGGGACGACATGGCCATAGGCAGCGAGGATAGGAGGCCCCCGTGTCATTGTCCCCTTGGGCCAGGTATCGTGGAGTTCCGCTCCTGGGAGGATGTAGACCTGGAGTGCAACGCGTGTGGCATCCTCATGGTAAAAGGTACCCAGATGTATTCCTGCATGCACTGCGACCTTGAAATATGTGTCCCGTGCTTCTCGAGTGTTCGCATGGATAGTCGTTGATGGCTCAGTTTGATCTGCGTGCTCACATGTTTCGGAGGTATGGCATGTCGTTGTCTGGGTAAATATTATGCTGCAGTTTGTGCTGTATGTGGCAGTCGCTTCCTGGCACTCAGTTTGTGTATTTCCTTGGGCAGCTTAGTGTTCATGTCCACGAAGATTGTGTACAGCAGACACGTACGCCAGCGGCTACATCTTCGTAGCCCTCTGCCTCTCCCTCGTCATGTTCGGCATTGTCGTGGAGTTCCAGAAGGGCGTTGTTCAGCGGCCCTGGCTCGGTGGCTGCTCAGTGTGGTCACCGCCAGAGGCCTTTACTGGAGAGGAGTTCTCTCCAGCAGATGCCTTGTTAAAAAAAATCCCTCCTCCTCCTCCTCCTCCTCCTCCTCCTCCTCCAGAGGCACGACACGACACGAGCGACGGACGACAGACGAGCGAAAGAGGGGAGGCGGTGCGGGGGGGAGGGCCAGCAGGGGGCGCGCGCGCGCGCCCGGCGCAGCCCCACTCCGGCCTGGCAGCCCGTAGCCGATGCGAATCGGCAGTCAGACACGATCATCAGCACGTCTCAGGCAGCACGGATAGCAGGACACTCCTGACTCTGAGTTGTTGCACCCCCGGATTTCCGTTGCGTACGCTGCCCCGCAGTACACACACAAACAGATACACACACACGCACACACACGTTGTCCGAGTTATGTATGTTTGGGGGAGGTAGAGCTAGACAGACGCGCGATACCGTGGTGATGGGTAGGCGGAGTTCGCGGTGGCACTTCACGGTCGGCAATTCGGATGAGATGCCGACGTGATGTTTTGAATGTTTCAATGCGCAGTCCCCGGAACTCCCGACCCATTACCGGATTTTCATCCAGAGTTTATGATGTTCCAACCTAGTTTAGCCTTTTGTCACCAGAAAGAATTTCGACCCCCCCGAAAGTGCCGAATTTCTAGGATTTTCACGTGTCGTTCCCTGGGAGACAAACGTCCGACACTGTTTCGACACTCTTTCGACACTTCTCCGGCTGCTCAAAATTATTTCTTGGATGTCGTCTTGAAGTACGATGGGAGCAACATATTCCGGAGTCGTTGTTCGACGGTCCCGGGGCCCGGTGGGTGTTTTCAGAGGCCGAAAACGACGAACCACCTTCGTCATCTTTTTTTTGGAAGAGAAACCTTCGTCCTGAATTGTCTTACAACGCGAGCGCGTCTGGGGAGACCACGGCCACCGAGGGCCCATCTGGAGGTAGGAGGGGCCAAACATTCAATTTCACCGTGCAGAAGAGGACGGTACATCACACCAAACACTTCCAGACCCAAATCGAAATGCCACACAATCCATGCAATGTCGGTTGGATCCGACTCGCGAAGAGGAGAGATATGAGGAGCGTTCGATTTTAATCTGAAAATAGCAACGCCACAACGATTGCCAACCCGATCTCGTCGTGTAATTATTTCATAACCCTCTAAACTCGGAATTACTGTTTTATTTGTCCAGCTAGGTTCCTGTAGTGCAAACAATGCAGAGTGTGCGTCGGAATGCAGCGATCCGAGCTTCCAACTCATCCACGCCCTTGCTTGAAAATCCCAGCATGTTCGCATGGATAACGGTAGCCGCTGAGAAAAACAAGCCCTGGGCGGCGGCGGCACGCCCCAGCCGGCGTCGCCCGGTACTGGACGACGCACAGGCGTGCAACCGCCTTGGGGTGGGCTCAGCCCCCCTCCCCGGCGGGTTCCCGGTGGCCGGTGGTTTCTCCTTCTCCTCTGAGCAACTCCAGGCCTCCCCTCAAAGCATATCGGGGGCGGCAAAGAGGGGGGTGATGACTACGGGGGGGGTGGATATCATTCATGGCGTGGGCCATGATATTTCCCCAGATTTTTCATGGCGCCTCTTCCTCTTTCGTTACGTCCCTGGCCCCCCCCCCAGGGCCGCGCACATGCCGCCGGCCATGATTTGCTCCCCCTCCTCTTGGACGCCACCCTCTTGGCCGCTCCCGAGCATAGCAGAATGTGTTTCTCTATCTTCATCCCCTGGGCGCCCTCACCGGGCTTTGGGGCCGCCCAGAAACGATTCAGGGCGAAAGAGCGGTCCAAGGAACGGGCCCACACCTCCTGAGGTCAACGTTGTGAAGCGATCATGGCGTCGGTGGTCGAGGCTCGATACTGGGCCTCCCGGGGTTGGGTTCGCATAGTCAGATGGGGTCGGAGGATCGGCGCCGCGTCGCCGACGCATTGCCGATGTGGCTCGATGCGGGGCCCGACTCCCTTCCTCCCCGCCGACGGTGGCGCCGATGCATCGCCGACGTCGGCGATGCATCGCGAGTGCATCGGCGATGCATCGGCGATGCGGCGCGAGCCTCCAACCCCATGACCCCATCCAGGAGGCCTCCGGCATCGAGCGTGGGCGGTCCTCCGCCGACGGAGGCCAGTCTTAGGTCGGGCCTGTCCCCCTACAGGGGGATTCTCGACGAAAAATTAAAGATACCCCGAACATGGTCAAAAAATAGTCCAAAAATAGTCTGGGGACTATTTGTTGAGTATTTTTTTACCTTTTTGGGGTATTTTTGGGGTATATGTTTTTTTTTCCGTCAAACCCCCCCCTGTATGCGGGACAGGCCCGACTCGAGGCCAGTCTCCTTCTCATACGGTGCACCCCTTCGCGTGCTGGAGTGCCTCCGGCGTGCGGCCGTTGCTCCGAGGCCTCCGGGCCTCCTCTCGGCCGCCGCGGCGAGGGCCGGGCGGCCGCCCTGCGCGCTCCTTCGGCGGGCCGCGGGGCGCGCTGGCGGTGCCCGGGCGGGTGCGGTGGGGCCGCGCCCCGGGGCGGCGGCGCGCCGAAGGGCCTCCTCGGCAGGCGGCTCCCACGATGGGAGCCGCCTCGGCCGATGGCATCGGCCCACCTCTGCTTCCATGTTTAAGTCGGGCCTGTCCCCCTACAGGGGGATTGTCGACGAAGCATAAAAACGTACCCCCAAACATGGTCAAAGGATAGCCCAAGAACAGGCTGGGGACTCTTTTTGGAGTATTATTTGACATCTGTTGGGTTTTTTTGGGGTATTTTTTTTTGTTCGTCGAAGACCCCCCTGTAGGGGGACACGCCCGACTTAACTTTCATGTGAGCCCGAGGCGCATCGGCCCCCAGCCGCCCCCCCGCGGGCCTCGAGGGCAGAGGAGCAAAAAGAGCGCGTGAGAGAGGGAGGCAGAG